AAAAAAAAAAACCTCTCACATCTCAAATCTAAGAGAAACAACCCCATAATTGGAGAAATGCACAGTAAATGCATTTAGTCATTAAGGATTTCTTTTCCCACACTAACCAAATCTCAATTCTTGAGAAATTGGTAAGATCTGTTGCTTCGTGAAAGTATAATTAAGTATAAAATCTTTTCTTAAAGGGATACTCTTCAGTATTTGACCTTTTCACATGGATAAGGTTTGGGAAGCTTAAAGAGTTTTAAATTAATTATTTAAAAAAAAGAGGGAAAACTGACCAAAGTTAAAGTAGCAGAGCCTGAGCTACAGCGCTTAACAAAGTTATGAGAACACCTGTCATAAAAACAAGTTAACGCAAATATTGCAAAAATCTTTCAAAAACTTGTTTTAAAAAAAAAAAATACAGAGAAGCATTTGAAACTAAATAAAATACAATTTTTATTGCAAAATTTCCTTAAAGATTTTAACATGAACATTGTGCATTTTTAATGGTATGAAAAAGTTTATATTCTTCTAAACACACAATTCATGATGCTCAAATGCCAGTCTCAGTTCCTACACAGCGCTTTGTAGTACTTACATTTGAGTGTTCTCATCTAATGTTTATATTGAAATGTGGATAACTTTGCTGTGCAAGTGTGGCTAGAAGGCTAAAAATGAAAAGATGGTTCTAAAGAGGTTGTTGGTGCAGATTATATTCTGTAAAGTATTCAGGTCAATTGAATACCTCAGCTGAATGCATTTTGCTCATGGTCATTTATATAGTACTTTTTTTTTAGCAGATATAAAATGGGGAAACAACATTTGTGACATGTTTTGCAAACTTGGACGTTGCATGCTAGTCAAGATAAGCGATATTGCTTTGTATAATTTGCATTGTTGGCATTGTGTGTCCACCACACCCTGAAGACTCTGCCTTTGAGCTCTTTGTATGCTGTGAAACGCTTACCACCTTATTTTCTTTCTGCTATTTGTGTAGGTCTTTGACGGCTTCAAGGACCACCGCAGCAAGTTCAGAAAGTCAACAGACGGACGACTGCCAGGAATCAGCTGACAAAATGAATTCAGGCTACCGCAGCCTGAGTACCAAGCTGTTAATAAAAACCTCGTCTCTCTCCAAAGAGGATGAAGCCAAACATCGTTTCCATAAACTATCTCTCATTAATGAGGCTGATGCTGTTGATAATAGCCAGGATGAAGTGGAGTTTAGCAAAACGAGCACCTCGACTGAGTCAAATGAACCGGATCTTGACTCAGAGTATAAATGGAAAAATAGATTTGAGGGTGTAAGTCAGTATAAACCAAGTAAAACAGAGAATTACACTTTTTCTGACTCCCTGACTTACAATATATCAGACACCTCGTCCAGTAACTCCTCCTCTTCCTCTTCCTCTTCCTCGGCTCTGCCTGACACTACAGCATACACACGCTTCACTGACTCCTTCTCTTCCCCCTCCCTCCCCTCTCTGGAGGAACCTATTACCCTTGGCAACAGGTGGAGTGACAGGAATGAATTTTACCTGAGCCGTGAAAGCAACCCAGTCGAAGCACCAGCAGATGACTGGAGGAGGAGCTTAGTGGAGCAGGAGGAGCCTGGAGCAGCTGCAGGTGAAACACTGGGACGGAGAGAGGGAGAGTCAGAGAGTGTAAAGTCGGTCTGGGAGCCACAACAGCTCCCTGTATCCAGCCTTTCCTCAACACAACAAACCAGCTACAACAACAATTTGGAGGAAGAGGACGGCGACTCATACAGATTTACTGGGGTGTTCACAGCCACACTTGTGGAGGCTGTCTCTGACCCTGTAGCTACTACTCTTTCCACTCCTCCTGCCTCCCCTGACGAAGACTCCACCAGCCAGTTTGACATGGATATTCTGGTGGATACTTTAAAGAGCATGGGGCCTTCTCTGAGGCAGAAGAGCGTGAGCATACGCACCACTAATACAGGCCTCGCCTCCTCTCTGCCACCCATTGTGGAGGATGCTCCAAGCCCAGTCTCTTCTGACGTGCCTGACTCCGTGAGCGGTATCCAAACAAAGATGGAAGGAACAGGCGCTCCAGCCGAGTCCCTCAATGGACTGTATACTCTGCCTGCTGACCTGGGATTGAAGAGGACTTCCCCAAGAGACAGTCGTTCTCCATTGGAACT